CAGTGATGACTGAATGCAAACCTGGTCTATACAACGACTTGCAATAGGCTACCGATGTATCAGCTCAGTATTTTCACTCCATCAGAAAAAATGGTAGCAAATCAGCCGCCCTGGTCGGATGAAAGGGCCAGGGGTCCGAAAGCGAAGAGGCGAACCAGCTGCTGATCCACTGTGTTTTGCAATACGTCTCTAACCACTGCTCTGCACGAACCCTGTGTTCATCCCTGAACGCATGTTGAAATTGAGAAAATAAACTGATACATCTTGTTTTATAGTTAAAGACGCTAGATGTATTGCTTTTAGGGTTTGGTGTTATTTTAAATCTGGTCGTATTAGATTCTGAATATGTGTTGGCGACGAATTCTTCGGAAACTTTTTAACAGCTTCGCGATTGTATATTTCCACTAGATGCATTTATCGAGATGCTCAAAAAAGCGCTGGCCGTTGGCAACAGGTTTAGTGAACATGGCGGGTCAGGCGAAATCCGGTAGTCCAATACATCGAACTTTTACAGCGCTAGTTGTTTTGAACTTTTTTCGTTCCCCACGCTTGTATACATGTCTTCAGTCTACGGGCGAATTCATGGGTTTCTTAATTCATAACAATTTTCTGCTCTCGTCATGGCTTTGGAAAACGGCTTCCAGATAACGAATCATTGTTGATGCTTAGAACTTGGGTTTTTATACAACACCCGAAGTAATCTGCGGTGAAGAACGAACGCGTCATTACCCTCTCCGGGAGCTAACGCGATAACCATTTAACTATGCGGGTCCTTCGTTTCACCTTTCAACCAGCTAGTTTTAGACACTAGGCAGTGGTTTATAGAAAACTAGCTAAAAAAAGACGAAACGAAGAACCCACGTGGTATGGTGTTGAACGTGTTAGCTCCCGAAAAGTGTAATTGCGCGTTGGTTCTCTACTTCGTGCCCCTGTGGCTAGAAATTTTGCAAATATCTCGGCATCATTGTGGTTGTATCGCACATAGTAGCCTGTTGTAATAAATTGTAATAGGCAGTGAATTAAAGGCTTCAATCCGAAATCCTTCCCTGACTCCACGCTTTAAAATTAGTATAAGCTTCTATCACTGCTTCCACCAAAGTTTGAACGAGAAAATAGTAGATAGCCGGAAATCTTCCAGAATAAGGTTTTCGACCCGGCGAGCATTGTATGGTAACTATTCTAAGAAAAAAATTGTTTCTTTGATAAGCTTACGCGGGGTTGATAAACAATTTTTATTAGGCTAATGTTTCGGCGTCTTCGTCTTCATCAGTATCAATCTTAATCAATATTGTTATTGCTATTTGCTAACTGGTAATGATATCGACTTCCGCTGGATGGACCGTCTGGGAAAAACGAGTTACTCTCACCGAACAATCACTACTATCAACCATCAGCATCTTGCATAGAAGGGCATCTCCGAGTGAGTATACCTCAATCGAAAGATGGTCCGTTGAGGAAGACACAACTCGATACAAAGGCGAAGATGCCACATCGAGATGAAGAAGAGCCATCACTATCTTCTCGAAACGTCGGCTCTGTTGAAGACGAAGACATCGAAACGTCGGGCGAATAAAAATTGTTTATCATCCTAGTGTTAGCTTATCAAAGAAAGAATATATATTGATTAGTAATGTGGCGGTTAAAGAAAAGTCGGTTTTGAAATATTTCTAGAACAGTTCCTATTTTCTATAATACCGTATGTTTCTTACATATATATATAATATATATATATATTAGTCATATGTACGGACAACCGCATTTATCCTTGCACTCTGTATAAGATTTTGAATAGTTATTTGATAGCACTTCACGTAGCAATTCCAAGACCGACTTTCTGTTAACCTCGTCATTGATTGATAATCCAATGTCTTCCTTCAACAATCAGACACGAGGTTGTTATTATAGAATTTATTAGGATACAACAGCTAACGTTTCGGCGGTTTCGCCTTCTTCAGAGCCCACTATTACCCTCTAAAGGGAATCCTCCAAATGCTAAACACAATAAGAATCCTTTAACTTGCACTTCTTCAATTGCGCGTGCATGGTGTTCTCTTTGAATCGAAGAGAGGCACGTAGTAGTCGCGTTTCGATGTCCAGTGCTAGTTGGCCGTCCCTTGGTAGGCCGAATACATTGTGTAGTCGTTTTCGCTTGATGAAGTTCGCTACGACTCGGTGTTTCAGGCAACGGCTGATGTTGTACCTTTTCTCATGTACCATGACTTGGTTCAAAATGGCTTTATCAGACTGATAAAAAAAAACATTCTAGGATCTTCTATTAAGCGCTATGTTCGGTTTCTTCAGTCAAAACTCTGCCTATTGCCGAAGCAAATATGAGGAGCGTTGCTAGTCATCGAGTCAGTGTCTAGTATTTCTGTGTTCCTGTGCTCCAGCCAGCTTCGCTCAAATGCTTCGCTCCTTCTCGTTAGCTCAACTAAGTTTCGTCAAATTGTTAATATTTTATTGTTGCTATCGCCATGAACCGCTGTAATCCAAGCTCGAGGTTGTTCTCTGTAGCAACGGAAAACTCCGGCGTGGTAAACTCGTACAAAGCCGAGTACTCTACTTCGAGACAACAATTATTCAGCGCTGACCGACTCGAGGACATATACTCAACTGCACCAAATAATACACATTCCACCAGATTCATGAAGAACACCAGAAATGTTCAAGCAGTGACCGAACCACGCGTAATTCGAGAATGATGGATGTCAAGAAACGAACCGAATGGAAAAAGTGCATCAATGTGCTACATGTGTGATGTCGGGTTAGAGAAACATGCGAATTAACACTGATGTTACAAGATGACCACTCTTTGTAACATCATTCTTATTCTTGTGATTATATGCCGAGCTGAGTGCTTAATTCGGTACTCCTGAGAACAATTTGCCTACTTTTATTAGAGGAGCTCTAGTTGAAATTAACTTTACTCCATGCAACTTCCACCTTACTGACATGGCAGTGATCTATCGATACCCGGGCAAGCCATGTCACCATGGTCTCAGGTTGTTACCACAATTAGCAGGCCGTTTGAAATAGGAATGCATGTTTGTCACCTGGGGAATGATTTTCTTCGAAAATGACCACATTTTCTACCGTTGGTATTGACTTGCCCATTCCTGAAGAGAATATCGAACGTATTCTCAGCAGGTGTCATAATAATAATGAATGAGCACTCTTGGAAAAGATTCACGAAAACGTTTCGTGTCGCTCTTCTCCTACTTTCGCACTGCTCCCGTCATTACATTCCGGCTATTCCATGCACACCCGCATGCATGCATGACATGAATACATACATCCATACATACATACGTACACACATATACACACAGAAACACAAAACACAGACAAACACACACACACGCGCGCATACATGCACACACACGCACGCAAACACGCTGGCATAATTTGCTTTATAACCGTACGCAGTTCAATACCAAATAGAGTTGATTTTATCGAATACAGGTGAATTGCTTGTTAATCAGGTTTGGCTTTGTCCACTCAGTGACTGTTGTAATTAAAATGTGATAACGGAGTCGCATAGCCCGAATTCCAATCCCTTTCGAAAATCTGAAAAAATCTGCGCTCATTTTACTTCGAAGATTAGAAACAAACATCCAAGAATTTTTGGAATAAGTTCAAAACCCGAGTTCTCAATTCATAGCTCTATTCCACTACTATTAAAGTTAACATACCGGACGTTTTCTTTAAGATCAATGGGATGTAATGTGAAATATACATTTCGACGTTTTTATTGTGTTTTAGAATTTCTTGAGTCATCTTACCTGCACAATTTGATTAGCCACTGTTGAATTCTGGCTTATATCGTCAGCCCTAATAACCATTCCTATTCCAGCCGTATACTTCCAATAATCAGGTGTCCAATTCGATGTTCCTGGAATACTACACCTCATTTATTAACGCTCCACGGATCCCCTTCATGTGAGGGATCTCGAGACGGTTAGTCGCGAGGTTACGTGGCGCGTCGCCAGATGGCGGATAGAGGGTCGATCGCGGACCAAAAGCGAGCTTTGCTTCCCTGAGACGCAGGTGGATACAGGGGATGGACTCCCTGTTTCTGATGCGCTGATTTGGCACATACTTTCTGTATTTGCGAGGGGTATTCACGCACGCGTGTGTGGGTGCGTTCTAGCTTATGCAGATTGTATTCCGCGAGTCAATTCGGCCAAAAGCCTGCCAACAAGAGACAGGGAAGTACATGGGATGCGGTTAGGAGTCGCCTCCAACAAATAAGCTCCATGTCCACTCTGGGAGAGCCTGGCAAGCAACAGTGAGTATACTCAGCCCCCATGTTCATTCAACAAGCTATATGCAGGTATCAAAAGTGCTAAACACAGTGAAAAAAAAACGGGCCTCATTCCCCTGACCCCGAAAGAGCCCCCAGGTTGGCAGCGTTGGGTGGGACGAGAACGGACAGGCTGCTAAAATCTCAAGGCCAATGGAAGTTGCCTGGGTTACAAAAATCTATGGTGACGATCTGTGCATACAATGCACGTACACTTGCATCCGAGTCCTCGATAGAAGACTTACTCACGCAAGCAAGAAGAATGAGGTACGACGTCGTCGACCTGGCCGAGACGAGAAGACGCCACAGTTTTAACGCCGTCTATGACACCGGAGACGAGTTCGTCCATGAACATCGATTCATTCGAACAACTTACAGCCCGAATAGGACGTTTACGATTAAAAGACGCGGATCAATTCCGGTTTTGACAATCTTCGTCGTTTACGCACCGACATCAAACTATGACGAAAAAGAAGTCGAAGCGTTTTATATGGACTTGGAGAAGTTCTACAGAGAAAGCCACACATTCTTCAAGGTTATCATTGGAGATTTCAACGCCAAGACTGGATCAAGAAGAACGTCTGAAAAACGTCACATTGGGACCCATGGATTAGAATGGAACGAACAGGGTGAGCGGCTCTCTAAGTTTATCATGGCGATTAAGACGATCCATGATAACTCGCAATTCCAGGAACCCCACCTTTAGCGCTGGACGTAGGAGTCCCCAATGGAGGGTACCATGACGAAATAGACCACATTATAGTAAATAGAAGGTCTCGCCTAACTGATGTCACTGTTGTCCCAAAATTCTACACGGAATCAGACCACCGTTTCCTTATGATTACCGTTATTAATGCAAGATCCTATTTCTCGCGCAAAGGAGAAAAAGCGGCTAAATTCAAAAACCAAACTCCCAGAACCAACGTAAACTGGGATTTATTCAATTCATTAATCGGCTATTGGGAAGATGCCGTTGTCGATAACATCGACGAAAAATACGATCAGCCCATTCAACATTTTCACGCTAGCGCGATGAAAGCTCAAGGTTTGAAAGTCACCAAGAGACGTCCGTCTCCAGGAACACTCAAAATAATACGACAGTGTGGAATCGTGGAGCTGCAGGCAACCGAGTACTAACGTCCGAACTTGTAAAGCAATGCAGAGAGGCGATAGAAGAAGATCCTAGAAAGAGAAGAGTAGCAGTAATGGCCGAAGCTGCAGAGGCTGGAAAAAGCATTCGCAAAGCCCACCGAAGCTTTGCCAATTACAAGACCAAACTGATTGCACTCCTCTGCCCAGACGGAACAGTTACAGCGTCCAGAAAGGCAATGGAGAAAATCATTCACGAATACTACCCAGATCTCTTCGATAGCCATGTCCACCTTCCGTCATGTGAGATAAAAGAGGATGGATATGTTGTACCACCGGTTCTCCCTTCCGAAATCCGACATGCCATTTCGTCGGTTAAAAATCGAGCAGCACCAGGTCCGGAGAGGTTAAGACCAGAACACCTGAACAACCTTCCGCCAGTTCTCTTGAACACATTGGCTTTATTCTTCACACGTTACCTGTCCGAATTCTAGGTTCCTACTCAGTGGAAAACCAGCAAGACCGTGCTGTTATTTAAGGAGGGTGACTTTCACCATATCGCCATCTATCGCTCACTCTGCTTGCTGCCTATCGTCTACAAACTTTTTACTCGAGCCATCCTAAAGACGATCTACAAAACACTAGACAAAAGACAGCCATGTGAGCAAGCAGGGTTTCGAAGAGGATTTAGTACGATGGACCATATCCACACGGCGGCACGGCTCATTGAAGTATCGTGAAAGTATAGAAGACCGCTCTGTCCGACCTTCATCGATTTAAAGAAGGCATTTGACTCATTTGAGATAGAAGCAGTCACGGAGGCCCTTGACAGGCAGGAAGCCGTTGGTCTGTACATAAAGATTCTTCGTGAGCTGTACAAAAGTTTCACAACCAAGGCATCATCATTCTACAACGATATTAACATTAACGTCAAAAGAGGAGTTAGACAAGGCGATACCATCTCTCTAAAATTATTTACCGCCACCCTCCAGATCGTCATACGAACATTGGAATAGGATAATATAGGAGCGAAAATCGACGGTTAGCAGTTACACCATCTTCGCTTTGCTGATGTCATCGTCCTTATAACACCAAACATTAACCAAGCGGAACGTATGCTTGACGACTTTGATAAAGCCTGTGGAAAGATTGGACTACGGCTAATTCTCACAAAAACGATGTGCATGAAGAACGGATTTGTTTCGCATGCCTCATTTTTGCTCAACGGAATGAATATCTCCAAATGCTCCGGTTAAATCTATCTAGGTCGGGAAAACAATATGAAGAACGACCTAGCTCCAGAGCTGTGCAGAAGGAAGCAGCGGCTTGGGGAGCTTTCAAGAGCATCGGGGATGTAGTGAACAGAACAAAGAACACTCTCCTCCGTGCCCACCTTTTCGACTCAACAGTACTTCCTGCCCTACCCTATGCGTCAGAAACCTGGTCGCTGCGCAGGCAGGGTGAGAGATCACTTAGCGTTATCGAACGCGCTGTCAAAAGGACGATGTTAGAAGTATCCTGTTCCACACAAGTAAGAGATGGGATCCGAGGCTCCGACCTGCGTCAACGATCAAAAATCAAAGAAACCGTTCTGTACGCCAAACAGTCGAAGGTAAGGTGTGCCGGACACGTTATGGGTATGAACGGATGGACAAGAGCCGTTAGTGACTGCATTCCTCGGAATGTCAAACCTACTGCAGGAGGACCACCGACCCGATGGTCGGAGTTTTTCACAAAGGACCTTAAAAAAAGATATGATGCTCGACGAGTTCCTAGAGCGAGCAGAACCCACTGGACTATTCTTGCACGCGACAAGGAGAAATGGATGATTTACTGGCGTCCGCTCGAGTCACTCGACGATCACCAGGACTACAGGTGATAGTAAATCTATGCCAACGAACGGTAGGAAAATCTGAGACTCAGTACGAACATAATTCTCAGAAGTAGTTATCACTTATTTGCTGCCTCCGCGAATCTCCAATAGAGTTATCTACCTTCTGTAATAACCTAACAATCCCATGCGCTACCTTTCCGCATGCAGATATCTGCAAAATCGTCTTCTGACGCAACTGGCTCTGAGCGCAACTTGATAGTTTGAACCACAAGCTCATTCTCCAATTGAGACTTTGAAAAAACCGTGTATATTGGTATTTGTGACCTTTGCGTTCTGAGCCAGATGCGATTTGTTCCGCATTTCGTTCTCCACCATGCGCAGCTTTATTTTCTTGGGCTCTATTTCATCGTTTCTATCTCTTATTGCCCATTTTTTGCCAGATTTTCTTATTACATGAAAAACTATTTGTACCTACTGCGGATCATGTACGTACTATTTTTAAGTACGCTTCAGCAAATGAAAAGGCGAAACGCAGGTGGCTTTTTTGGTAGCTGAGGCTGCTGTTCGTTTTTCATTCACTTCACCTTCACCGGCCTTCACTGTTATTCATTAAACATCTTGAAAAACTGGAAATTCAACCACAACGTTGCTGAGATATTTGCAAAACTCTGGACCGCAGGTGTCTATGGTGGGCAACGAACGCGCTATTATCCTTTCCGGGGAGTAACGCGTTCACCACCACACCATGCGGGTCCTTTGTTTCGCACGTCTCTCAGCTATTTCTATCTGGAAATTCATTTTCCATAACCACAGGATAATCAAATTTGCCTGGCACAGTTTTAGTATGGGTTCACCCCTAGCTGGGTTTCTTGGTAGAGACACTGAACTTCTTGCCTTGGATGACACTGTTAGGAGACCGAGCCTATTGTGATTTTTGCGATAAATGTGTTCACCTTAGAGTAGTAGAATGAGTATTCCATTTTCGCGTGATCAAAGAAATGTGTCTGTTGAGCTAAATATAAGCAAATTTGGGAAATCATTCCTTTTCTGTCTTCTTGGATAAAGCGCTGGATAATAAAAAAGCTCTCGGCGTTTATCAATCTCTGAAGCATGCACCATGCATTCGACTTCATTAAGCATCGTTTGGAGGTGATTGAATGCATATCTGGCCTTTACGATGACTCATGATGGCCTACCGATGTATCGAGCCGGTGCTGCTATCCTTCCAGACATGGTAGCAATTTGCCGACCCCGGAGGGTTGGAAGACTTGGTGGGCCATGGGCGTGGGTCGATTCCACGTGTGTTGCAGAGCGCCATTGATCACTGCGCCACACGTGCCCTCACTGTCCTCTTGGATACATAAATTGATCCGAAAAACCTTCTACAACTTTTACTCGGCTTATTGTGCTAAAAACTAAACAAACCACTATGTTCGAATTGCAACTCCTTGCAATGGCCTTTACCATTGGCAATTAAGCGTACAACAAGCGTCTAATTCGAATGAGACTAATTTGTTAGCAAAGAAATGAAGAATCTGCTTCTTTTTCGGGTTGCTTCAGAAAAGTACTACATTTAGGAAATATTCCCACTCAACATACCAATGTATGCAGCTTTTTCCGTAACGAAATACTTGTTGTGATAAACTCTGGAGTACGGTATGGCACCGTATTGCAAGTCCGGCACTTCAATCAGTCGCACCGAAATGGAACCACGTCGAAAGCACTTGTGATCTGAACAACATAAAAATCAGTGTAACGGAAAGCCGTAAGAATCAACTCAATTTAAAGAGATTCGTACCAACATATCGGCATGGTAATTGACTGCTGAGGTCCTGTAACGAACGAAGATAAGAATAATACTTTGCGGAAGTATGAGCCCAACGAGAGAAGAGAAAGCGAACCTATAAAGCGAAGATTGTTGCTATGCTCACAGCAATAAAGAAAGTAAATATTAGGTCATTAAATAATATTCACTTGTTTACATGGAAAAATTCACCAAGCTCTCCTCCCAATTTCTAACAATTTTTACTCGACTTTTCCAACAGTAGAGTCCCTTCGAAGTTACATCATGAGAGCTAATTCCAAAAAAGTTCAACAAACTTCGCAAAACATTTAATTGCTGATCGCACAGACGTGTTATAAGTTTGTCACTAGCAACGTCGAGTAATTACATCCTTACCTTCACTTGTCGGTTAAAGGCAGCTCTACGGATAGCCTCATCAAGACGAGCGTACCATCTGGAAAATTGATCCAATGTAACATCCTTGAACGTTGAAATTCAGACGTTTTGCTAGCAGTTGACGACAACTACGATAAATGTATGGTGACTGATCGAAGGATTTTCGTAAAATAGGGCCCTGATAGAGCGGCAAATGTGAGAAATGTCAGTTTCTCTCTAAATCGCTTGAAGAGCAAGCTGAAATTTCATAGTTTTCATTTCTCATCCCCAAATAAGGGATTTAGAGCCCAGCACGCAACCGTAGTTCTATTTTTGTAAACGGCCTTTGTAAATGTGCAATATATTCCTCAATGGAACACCTAAAGAAAAGTAATGAAAATCCAGGACCAAGGCGCTCTCGTTGCCCCCCAATCCATGATCGTCCGTCTGCTCGCACTAAGCGCAGTTACAAATCGCAGTCGTTCTACCTTTCTTTTCCTGCTTTCAATAAGATAAGAATATGTTTTTAATCCAGGTGCTAAAAATCTTACGAATTCAACGGCTTTAAGTAAAGTGTACAAGGCGCGTACTCCATTACAGCCATGTCAAGCGATTCCTATAACGACAACAATAGTAATTAATAATAATTTAACGATAATAATGACAATAATGACTGCAATAATAATAGTAGCAATGACAGTAGAAACAAGGTAAAAAAACGAAATTCTTTTCATTGCAGAACCACTACAAAATTTATTGCACGAGATCGCTCAAGTAATGAACCATAGAAAATCATTCTAGAATCCTAGTCTGGATCTAACGCAACGCTCGAGTTATGAGTGGAACACAAATGTGTGTGGAGATTCAATGCTTTAAGTACTAGCATCTTACCTATTAGTTGGCGCTTCACAAATATTCACCTGAGCTTCATCGATGAGTTTCACCATGGCGTCAATGTCGGACTCTCTTCCACATGACTGAAATCCTGGAGGAGATGCCTGGAAGGCGAGAGAGACCTTCATAGCAGTTCAGAACAAAGACCTCTTTTAAAAACTCACAGAAAAGTACACGGCCTGATCACCCTCACTTTGTGGCACTGTGGTCGGCCGTTCATGGTAAGCGGATGTCGCGTAGACCATGGGCCAACTACAAAATACTTCAATTACAATTTTTCAACAAGCAAAGTACTACTTTACGAACTCTAAAAAAAAACTCTAAAACACCTTTCTATAAACTATGGACAATTTTTTACCACTACTGGTTAATATCTGCACGACATGTTCGTATGCTATGTACACGTATTAGTGGCGCGTGTGGCGCAGTGGTCAGAGGCACCCTGCAACATACACGTGGAATCGAACCCTGCCCCATGGCACACCAAGCCTTCCGTCCCTCCGGGGTAGGAAAATTGGTGCCAGACTTGTCTAGAAGGATAGCAGCACTGCCTCGATGCATTGGTAGGCCACAAGGAGTCATTGTAAGAACCAGATATGCATTCAATCACCTTCAAACGTTGCTTAATGATGTCGAATGCATGCCGCATCCCTCAGAGACCGATCAATGCTGAGAGCTTTATCCTTAACTCTCTTAAGTACATGTATTAATTGAAAATTAATGGTAGACCTCTCAGTTTTACATTCTTTGCGCGACTGTGGTTGCAGTAAACGACCACGTAATTCGCCAGAAGAAAAATGGACGTAAAATCTCCACTTTTTCTAACCACCGGATATCACGTAAGAGACCCTAGCAGTTCCATTCGATTGGTTTCTTCGCATTCTTCGTCATCGATAGTCTCGGATTTCGCATGCGAGTTGCCGCTGCTTGAAGACATTTCGCCTTTATTATGTATATATTGAATGATCGTTGGCTCGATTCCCTCTGTAATCACGTGAGATCCGTGCTGGGCTGTTCCCAAACCTTCACCGCCGGCCGTTACCAATTTTTACGGGCTGGAGCGAACTTCACAAAGCAAAAAGTTTTCAAAAGCAAAAAGCAAAAAAAGCAAAAAAAAGAAATGGTACAATAAATGTAGCATCACTCAGGTGCGTTACCACAGCCACGAATCTGCACTTTCGGAGATCTTATTTCCTTTCACTATTTTGATGTGAACTGCTTTTAAAGTTTTATGTGAAGATACGATGCCTTCGCATTTTTTAGCGGTGGCTTTAAGCTTTGAGGAGATCACGAATTTGAATAGAGTACCTGTCCGGAATTTTCGCTCCAGGAGCACCCATATCCCAATGAATTTGCAGCAATTTTGTGAGGTCTTCCGCCAAGCAAGGACAATCAAAAACAGCCATGCCTAATTCTTTTACCTTAAAACACAAGCAATTCAATTTTCAACGCTAAATAGTCACATGTTTATATTTTACGATCGGAATAACGACACTTTGAAAAACGTTGCACTTCCGACAAGTATAGAAGGAACATTAGTTTCCGATTGAAAAAGGGAACACTCAAAAGACAAAAATACATGAAAAAATACTAGATACTTGATAGTTAAACAGCTCGTCCACATTGGTTGTGCGGGCTCTAGCATATTCTCCATTTTTTGGAGGTTTGCTTCTCACCGCAGGCAGTCGCAGCCCTTGTGGATCAGAGGAAGGTTTGCCATCATGCGACTTTACTACCAGGAAGGTGGATCCTGGTATTGGTTTACTCTTAGCTAGGCTTCCTAATGGAAACACCGTACTCCTTCTCAGCTTAGGAGACCCTACCAGGAGACGAACCCTCTCGCTCTACATCGTACAGGAACACCTCTTAGCCACGATGAGGAGGCAAACCGTTGGGATGCATGAAAAATTAAAAAAGAAAAAACGTTTATGCAATTTCTGGCCGTCCTCTCGTTTCAAACAGCAAAACGTATTTTCACTCTGCTCTCAGTGTTGGTAAAAGAAAACAAATAACCTGAGTAAGAGATCGCCAATCGAAATTGGCCGAACCAACGTACAAATGCTTCCCATCGACGACCCACGATTTTGTGTGAAGAATTCCACCTGGATACCTAGCACGAAAAAATCTTTGACAGAAATAAATCAGAGTTACAGTTTCTTCAAACTACACTAGGCGTTAGTGAAACTCGGAGCCAACGCCTAGGAGTTCACGACGGACGGTTTGCATGCTGTAAATTTTAGGAATATCTTATGCGAAACGCCAAGTGGTAAAAAATTCTTTGCTGCGTTTATGGGTTGTTCCTCTTGCTACTATGATCAAAATAAGCACTGGCGCAAAGCATTACTAGTTCCCGATTGCATGCTTCTTTTCGTACCCAAAGAAACGCAGCTACACAAAACCCCAGGAATTCTTGCTAATACTATAGTAACAAGGTTTTCTTCGCAAGTATTTGTGAAAAATAAGAGGAGTGTCTCTAGAATGCCGGTTTCCATGACGAAGTTGTCACAGAAAAACTGCTTCAATTTTCAAGAAGAAAAAGGAATTTCTCTATGCAACATTCTTTAAAAAAACAGTCCTCGACAGTTAAAATGAGTTAAAAATGAAATACAAAAAGAGTTAAAGTTTAACCCTAGAAGTGCAAGGTTATTGTTAAGCAACGTCAACGGCGGTGTTTTCTCAAGCAAGATATCGACTGAACTATCAGTCTCCTACACAAATCATCGTATCAAATCTTGGCTTAAAAAGGTTGGAAAGCAGACAACTAACACTCAATGGTTGACTTTTTAAAGCCAATGTTAGGCGTTAAGAATGTGTTATGAGAAAATATGGAATTCTTAAAGCAACATTCTCAAGCAAAATCTAAACAATCGACTTGTAAAGAATTCAAAGTCGAATGAGTCAAAAATAAGCGGCGAGAAGAAAGATTCAGTTAAAAGCGTCGTTTTCTTGTTCAGCAATCGGAGGTTGTTACACAGCATACATTTACTTCCATAGAAAAACACAATACAATACAACAGTAGCTGACGTTTCGGGTTTCGGCAGTATCGCCTTCTTCAGAGCCTAGAAGGGAATACTGATATACAACTTACTAGGCCAAAAGCTTCAATAACACTTACAGAAAGACGAAAAACTCTATGGCAATCACTTCATCAACGGCTTCTCGAAAAACTCATCGTTTTTAACGTGCCTTCCACTGAGGAAGATTAGAACAGCTGATTATAGTCGCATACGGTTTTTACAACCTCGCGATTGTTGAACAAGAAAACGACGCATTTATAATCCAATGCCGAGGTCAGTGGAAAGTCGGTCCTGGATCAGTTAAAAGCGTATCAAGACTGAATCGCACCAGTCTACCTTATATTTGACAGGAAAGAATCCATTTTTCTACTCATTGTAAATCAATTGAGTACTGGTTTTTCATTAATTATTCGTTTGCAATTGAAAGCTGCCCGACAACTCAACAACGTGTGTCATCACCAAGGGCGATGCTTTTCTCTCCGAAGTACAACCACGATTTGTTACACGATTTAAAATTTTGATCTTGGTGCTTAGTGGCTTAATGATTCCACTGGGATTCGAGCATGTCTAGCCTATGCAATGTGTTGCTAGGGCCAGCGCTTGCATCGAGTCAGTGGTGGAAAGTTCGAAGGCTTGGCGCGCCTCCAGGAAGATGCAACTAACGACCACGTGAGTATTTCTGCTCACCTGTAAACACTGAGCTACATACATAGTAAATCTATATAACACCTGATGGAGCTTCCAGATTTTCAGCGATGTTCTTCGAAAGCCAGTAGAATTGACTTTACTAATGTAGAAAAAATGCCGCCCGCCACTTTGAAAATATAAATGTTTTTTGGATATGTTGATTTTGAGTTTGCTTAAGATTTAAGCTCTAAAAGTTTTAAGAGCAAATATTAAGTTTCCAAAAATTTCGGCGCAAACCTTGCAACCAAGTACATCGGCTATCCATTGAACGACACCGTATTCTTCTGTCTAATATTCTTCTCTGTTATCGTCTATTACTCTTACCGTCATACTGGACGAAATTCCTCCGATGAATCCTTTCACTGTCCTAGACGAGACCATCGAGGGAAAAAAGCTAAGAGAAAGTGGCCTTGCTGGTTTTATAAGTCAAGAATTCCATCTGGTTGCATAAAAAACTTCTATTATTCAGGAGTCCTTCGACTTTCGAAACATCTTTACATTTTGGTTTTTTTGTTTTAATGGCTAAAGTTCACCATGTGATCAGAATTGCTTGTCAAGAGTTGAATATCACAATTTCTTTCCGCTATAGGTAGTAAAGTCAATTCAATCAGTCGGTCGTAGTCGTAGTGGTCAATTGATATCGTCCAACACTTAGATAAAATAATAATTTTTCCTTAGAGTTTCAAAGAAAATCTTCACATTCCCTTTACCCCATACTTTTCTTACGATTACGTAGCAGATGTTATGGCTGAGCTGCTCACCACTGAGTGAAGTCGAGTGAGCGCACTTCGATATTTCCGTTCGATTCTGCCGCCAGATTTGCTGTTTCGGAATACCCTTCAAAGAAGTGGAAAAGTGATGATTGCTAACGGTCCAGTGATCTTTTCAAACCAAGAGGTGTTTAGAATTCCAATAGAAACTATGTGGTCATAAAGGTAATTAACTAAGAGAAATATTTTAAAAAAGGATAAAAGAATAAAGCTCTCGGCGTTAATCAATGTCTGAAGAATGCGCCTTGGATTCAACTTCATTAAGTATCGTTAGAGATGAGTGAATGCATATCTGGCCTTTATAATGACTCGCGGTGACCTACCGATTTACCGCGGTGACCTACCGATTTATCGATCCAGTGCTGCTATCCTCCCAGGCAATTCTGGTAACAATTTGCCGAGCTAGGAGGGATGGAGAGCTTGATGAGCCAGGGGCGCGGGGATCGATTCCAAGTGTGTGTCGCGGTGGCGACTCTAACCACTGCAGCACACGCGCCAACAAGAGAAATATTACAACATTTGATTGTTTAATAGGAAATGTCTTTCAAGTTAGACATTTCATGTTGTGTCCTGGTTTGTGAAAATTTCCTAAGTTACAAAAGTTCGAAAATGAAAAGCGCAGGCCCAGAAAGAGAAAACGAGGTAGGAAAACATTTGGTGTTTTTTGGTCTTTGACCACTTGCACCAAATGATCTTTTGTTGAAGAAGTACAATAATGTGTATGTGCGGCTTCCTTTACGAAAAAAAAACATTGAGCAAATATGGTGGGTATTCGTTAATTTAAGGAGAGAGCTCAAGCTCTAAACAAATGATTTACTTCTTATTCTGCTTGTCCGTATGCCAAAATATTGCGGACAATCAATCATTGATTTTTGGTCTAAATACGGATGTTCAAAGATTTTTAGCCGGAGAAAATCCAAGATTCAAGGGAACTTTCAGTACAGCGTTTGAATTGTCACCGAGCCAACGGAACACCTTTGCCCTACGTTCCACCTTTTTTTTCAACCTCCCAAACTTTTCACCCAATAAGGTGCCTGTTGTTCCAGGAACGATTGCGTGACCCTATCGATATCGGTGGCTCAGAAGGATTGAAGTGATATAGCCTATCCAGTTGACCTGCTCCATTGAAGGTTTTCGTTTACCTCTCATCATTCACAAAATTCATAGCAGTATTTCTTTATCTTATCATTTCCATTTAACTATAATTTCTATTGAAATCTTTCCATCACGGACATTGCTAGTAGGTGGAAAATTTCTCTGGGCCGAGGCGTTAAACTGATAGTTAAGGAAAAGTCCCAGATTGATGGAGAACAGAAGTGATTTATCTGAATGTATTTGTGCTCTATGATACGTGACACATTGATCTTCACCTTCTGCAATTTATCCTGTAGGCAATATGAGCCACAAATATTGGGTGTTCCCTATGTCTTCATGCACTTTATTCCTACGTTCTGAAAATCACGTCCTAGTAGTTGTCTGATGTACTTGCCTCGCAGTGGATAGAAAAGGCTCTTTGGTGTCTTCGCATCATTGCACTGAGCACTTGAAAAGGCGTTGCTTAAGAGAAGAACATTCAGGGAGAAGTCATCGAGAGTTTCTTCTTACGTTGACATCTTCATTCGGGCAAAGAGATTAGCCGATAAGCAATCACGCCTATCCGATTAACATCTGCTTTCACTCCCTCATGTAGGACTATATGTATGATAGGAACTATAAAGGGGTAAAGGATAAAGCTCTCGGCGTTGATCAATCTCTGAGGGATGAGCCATGCATTCGAATTCATTAAACATCGTTGGAGGTGATTGATTGCATTTCTGGCCTTTACAATGACTGGCAGTAGCCCACCGATGTATTGCCCCGGGACTGCTATCTTCATAGAGAACTCTTCCACCACTTTACCGATTCCAGAGGGATGGAAGACTTGGTGAGCTTTGGGCGCGGGGATCGATCCCGTATGTGTTGCAGGGCACTTCCGACCACTGCGCCACACGAGCCCTAATAGAGGCTATAATATAGTTAATTTTGCTGCTATGTTGTTTCCTTTCGGTGTACAAACTGATGACGTGTCGTAATCGCTTTTAATTGCTTGGACAGGGGGATTTAGGAAAATATTTAAAAAATAAAAATCCCTGATAAAAATGGAAATAAATAAAAACGAAACGGTTCGAAATGTGATGCCACGAGTTGTCCCAACAATATCTGTGTATGGACGAGCATACCTCCATCCCGATAAGTCTGGCTGATTTTCACTTTGACACCGCGTTGAGCCGTCTTCAGCAGAGTGTTGTATATCAACATTCCCTGCAACATTTACGCACTGGAAGGTTCAGAATTTTAGTGAGTCTTGTTCTGATAAATTTGAGAGATGCGAATGTTTTTTGTATTTCATATTCTTGACGTAAACCGGTTCCACGTAATAGATTTAAGCCTCAGCACCTTCAGTCACTACAAAAAAGAACAAAGTAAATCGATGAGTACGTTGAAAGCCATAACTTTTTCTGTTATTCAAGACCAATCTCTCTCATCTACTTTTTTATCGGGATATATTTGGTTAAATCACTCTACAACGGATTTCAGAAAAAAGATGAACAAGTTCGTTACCATCTGCGGTGATTACAGTGAATTTAATTTTTCATCGTTTGCTTCCCGTTTGGCGCTTTTTGTGCAATACTCTGCTATCAAATTAATAGCCGCCTTTCCGCATATGTGGTACTAATTTTTTAACAAAGGCTATTCGAGCGAATTTTCCGGTTTCATGAAATCTTACAGCGATTCCTCGCTTACTGTAGGGACAGAGTGTTATAGAGATTACACAAAATTGTTTCTATCACTACAATGATTCTATCAGTCATTCAAGGAAAGGTATATGAAGATCGTTTCAAAAAAATGTTCATTAAGATCTTTGAACCTCTTACCATTAAGTAATACAAAGAGTTACATATTCAAGAAAAGTTTCAAAGGATTCTTTTAGTATCTTTTCATCAATCTGCATCCTTTTCAAGTCACGAAAAACATCATCAAAAATGCGTTTCAAAAACTATGAATTTCAGGACTTCAGCGAAGACCAAATGAGGCAAACAACAAGGATGACGTATGGCGACGTAAAAAGAAGACGTTTTTGGTGGCTTAGTGCTGGTCTGGCGAGTGAAACTCACATCGCCAGTAGTGTTCGTCGTGTCGACGGTATAATTGTCTCCAGTGTTCTTCACCAGCAATGACCAGTAGAAACTACCGATGAGGATGTCGTGTTTAGCAGCACCTGAAATCACAATAACATCTACAGATTACGACATTGTTTAAAAAAACAGTGATAACTTATACGATTTTCCATGATGACTTGAATTCAAAAATCAAGTGAAAATTACGCTTTCTATATACTCTCATGTATTCTTTAGAAATTTTGTCTTGACATTTCCTTCCGATTATCCGTCAAAAAGTCTAAGGTGGACATAATCTGGACAGACGCCTGTTTAGAGGACGTCGCTACTGAGCCGAAAAATAAAACATACGTAAGGAAACGCTATTTCTTTGATTACCATAAACTACTAAGCCATACTGACTCTTTTTTATTTACTGCTTTTTACAAGTTTTCACGGCAGAGTATTATTTGTGAAACAACCACAATTATTCTGATCAATCCCGTTGACGGGTGATTGCTGACGGCAGTGATCGATAGAACCAGCTGAGAGATAGGCGAAAGTAAGGATCCGCATGGTGTGGTGATGAACGCGTTTCTCCCCAGAAAGGACAATAGCGTGTTCGTTCTTCATCGCAGACAACTGCAGTCTGGAGTTTTGCAAATATCTCAGCATCATTGTGGATGTTTTATTAAGCCACAATTCATTCACTGTTAACCGAGAAGAACTGAGGACACAGAGAAAGATGCTTAATTTTCTGTTGAAAAACTTTTTCCCACGCATTGTGGATATTGTGGGCGTGGACGGACGTGGACGAATGTTTGTATGAACATTATTTAACACATCACTTCTTCTTATTTATCTAACCTTATTTATTTTAATGAGTCAAGACGATAGTGGCATTAAAAGTAGGTTATTTTCATAGACACAAATAATCCGATTATTAACGAGATGATGGTACCAAATATAAAGCAAACCAAGCTTGAAATTATCCAAAATTTGCACTTTACACGGTGGCGATACTAAACTGTCATGATCACAGATCTGTAAAACGTTCTCTTTGTTTTAACATTTAAATTCAGTGGGTTACTTCGGCCATTGTTTTTACAGTAGCATTTGCTCTAAACTTTTGCACATGTTGATTTCACCCACTACAACCGTTTCAAGCCCTCAATCCGCGGTGTAGAGCTTGGATTTCATTTCCACCCCAGATAATTCAAGTTCAAAAAGATTCGAAACATCGGATCCGGAAGGTAATCGTGATCTCAAAATTGTGATGTGCTTCCAATCGTTTTAGCAAATAGAGCCTACTGGAAAACTTTAGTGCGGGACAAGGAGAATGTAGCTTACTAGTGCCTGCTGGGGTAACTCGACAGGTAACAGGATTACAGTTGACACGGATCTACCTAGCAGCAGTTATACTGCAAAAAAATGGGTAAAGTATCCCATTACAAAATTCTTACGTATATACTAGAGGTGCTACATTTATACTACTTACTGATTTGGCTGGATACTTAGAGGGCTCGTTTTCACTGGTTGTGCTACCGCCAGCACAATTTCCATTCGTTTCTCTCTCGCGCAATCGTCGTCCATGGTGGTGGAGGCTTCGAACGCGGTGACATCCGTGAGGCCCATTCCGAATTCTTCATATCGCTTTCATCTGTGAACGCAGATGGTTGATATTAAAAAAGCTGAAGTGAACGCGAACACATCCTCTGATCGTTTATATGGTCTTCCAAGAGGACGTTTGCATTTTTTTGTAGCATACTCCACTGTCTTTTCGTACATCTGTAATCTGTTCTTCTTATCATGTGGCCCCTCCCAGCGGTTTACCGCCTCATCGTGGCTGAGTGGTGTTCCTGGGTGTCGGACTGCGATGTGCAGCGAGAGGTTCGCCCCTCGGCAGAATCTCCCAAGCTTAGAAGGAGTCTGGCGTTTCCATAATGAAGCCTAACTAAGAGCAAACCAATACCAGAATCCGCCACCGCCCTGGTATCAAAGTCGCATGGTGGCAAATCTCCCTCTGATCCACAAGGGATGCGGATGCCCGTGGTGGTGACGACCTGGAGGCGGACTTTGGCCAGGCTGACCTGGGGATTCCAGGAAATCACAGTGGCTAAACCAGGAAATCTCCGAAAAATGGTGATCATGCTGGTGATCAAGATGGTGATCAATCTAGAAAACAGAATAGGTTTCCAAGATCTGAGCTGCACATTCCATGCAGACTTTGCAAGTTCTGGTTAAGTTTCAGAAGACGTCGTTCAAGCGCTTTTCGAGTGGTGCACAAATTTTTTGACGTGATCGAAGCATCAGTACACGTTTCTGCTGCACAATAGAGCGCTGGTTGAATCGAAAAGGTAAACGAGAAGCTCTGCACTGTTAGTTGATCGGTGGGTTCTATGTGTGGCCCGAATGCGGCCCATACTCCTTCCCTTTTGCTGTATAATTCCTTCTTCATGTTGTTCTCCATGTTTATTGAACGTCCAAAGTACAGGTACGAGGTGGTCTCTGCAATCAGAGAACCATCCAGTCGTCCAATTTGTTCATCTTCTCACCAGGATTCATGGATTGAGTCTTCGTTCTACTTATTCTTAGTCGAATATTTTTGCCTCTTCGTTGAGTTTATTGAGCGTCGTCTATGCTACTGGTACTCCTCGAAGACATGATAACGTCATCAGCGAATCGAAAATTTGGCAGCAATTTCCCATCAATAGTTATGCCCTTCTCGTCCCAGTCGCGAGGCGTCATCATCCAGTACAGCACGGCTGTGAACAGCTTCAGCGATATTGTCTCACCTTGTCGACCTCTTTTTCTTATGGGTGTGGCAAAGAATCGATCAAAAACCTGTATATCTGTGCTGCAGTTTTTCTTACAGTTAGCTACTGTTAAAATATACAATGAGTCTGTTCCTTCGTCGACCAGCGCTGATAAGATTGCATTCGTTTTGACGCTATCAAAAGCCATTGCGACGTTGTTAAACAGCATACGTTTACTTCCATGCAATAACACACATACAACACAACCGTTGCTGACATTGCGGCAAAATCACCTTCTTCAGAGCCTGGAAGGGTACACTAATACGCAACTCACTAAGTCAAACGCTTCAACAACACAAACAGAAAGATGAGAATTTGAACGATAATTACAAGATCAACGGCTTCTCGAAAAAACCCACCGCTTTTTTTCACCTATCTTCTACCGAGGACGAAGTACCGCTTAGATTCGCATATGGTTGACGACTGCACCACCCCACATTATCGTTCTATACGAAGGTACGGGATGAGATATCACGGTGATCTCGGGGCATTCCTCCCTACTATCCATTGTAGGACCACTTGTAGTACTTGCAGACACGAATATATTGGGGAAACGTGCGGGCTTTTATGTTTCCGCATAGAAGAACACCTAGACGGCAAACGAAAAGCAAGACACGGCACGGCACTAGGGACGCATAGGATACAAAAGCACAGTGGAGACGATTTTGATATAAAAGTCGCCATCCTCGCACAGGATCCTAAAACACCAACGCGCAAACTCCTCGAGGCTTTTTGGATAAATGCCAAAAGTCCTACAATGAATAGCAGGGGAAATGCCCCGATATCAGCCGTGATCTCGCCCCGTACCTTTGTGTCAATCGTTGATCTGGGCAGGTGCAGTCGTCAACCATATGCGACTCTGAGCGGATGTTCTTCTTTGTTGGAGGACAGGTGAAAAAGCGGAGGTTTTTTCGAGAAGCCGTAGATCTTGTAATTATCGTTCAGGTTTTCATCTTTCTGTTTGTGCTGTTGAACCGTTTGACCTAGTAAATTACGTATCAGTGTACTCTTCCAGGCTCTGAAGAAGGCGATTCTGCCGAAACGTCAGCTACGATTGTGTTGTATGTGTGTTATTGTATGGAAGTACACGTATGCTGTTTAACAGCCTCGCGATTGCTGAGAAAGAAAACGACGAATTTATAATCCATTGCCGAGGTTAATAAAAAGTCGATCCTGGGAGCTGTCAAAAGCTTTCTCCTAGTTAATAAAGGTTAGCACAAGGTGCGGATGGTGTTCCAGACAAACTTCTACGTCGCGTGACACGTGCTGGGTGTGATCCGTGCAGCAGAATTCCTATCGGAATCCTATTTGCTCAACTGGTTGTGCCACATCTAATCTCTTCAACAGCGCAAACAGATAATCTTCATGGACAACTTTTAAAGTGCAAACAACAAGCATATTGAACGGTAGTTACAAATACCCCATTGGCCATCAACCTTGGATGGGATGACTGTGCGCGAGCTCGTCCACTTGTTTAGGACTTTCTCTTCCTGAAGGCAAGACGTCATGTCAGTTGCGAGAAGTGCATGTAATTTGTGTCTTTCAGTTCTAAGGAAGACGGCAGTAATGTTATCAGGTTATGGAGTTGTGCTTCTCTTCATGCTTTCTATCGCAATTCGAACTTCAGAAGGTGGAATCCCGGGTAATTATCCTAAAGCGAGTTTTCGCGGTGCGAGATTAGGTTTCGGAGAGGAATTGATTGGTATGAAACTTTCCGTTATCGTTTCCCATATTAAAGCAGAATGTAGTGATAGTCCCATCTTCGTCTATCAGGCAAACATTATAACTTCTATAATGCTGAGATATTTGCAAAACTCCGGACCGTAGGTGTCTGTGGGTGGTGGGGAACGAACGCCCTATTGTCCTTTTCGGGGAGTAACGCGTTCACCACCACAGACACCTGCGGTCTGGAGTTTTGCAAATATCTCAGCATTATAGAAGGTGTATTTCGCAACATACCTTGCCGTTAAAAAAGAATAGGCAGTAAATAAAAAGGTTAGAATTGTGTTTATAGCAAACATTATAATTACAAAAATCTCGACGCTATTTCTTCAGAATAGATCATTTTTGTTAATGTGGGTGCAGATCCTGCACGAGCTTCACTGTGCTTCTGTTTTCAAGAAACTCCTTAACAGTAATGGACCTGCTAAGTATATGAAGGGAAGATCTTATTAAGAATATCCTCGCCATTTCCAATTTGTTTCGTTCTTCTTGGATGACGACAGGAGTTTTCTTCCAGCTTATTGCTGAATTTAATCTTCGCACAGAGAAGGAGGTGGTCAGATCCAGTGCAGAATCCAGGTATCACTGAATTATCAAAGAGGCAACATTTCCTGTTCGCGAAAACATGATCCATCGCCACAAGAGTCGTGCCTTTACCGGACTCCCATATCCATCAGCGACTTTTTCTGTTCTCCAGAAATTAATCGCTATGGAAGAAACGGGCTGCAGACAAAAGCCTTACGAAAGATTTTCATTCTCATTTCGTTCACTTACTACGAACTTCCCTATGCTCTATAGTATATGTACATGTATATATATATATGTAGTTTCTTATGCAAAGCCTATTATTATTTTTCACGGTAGGGTATAATGTCAGATAGAACTGCTATGAGGCTGATATATTTGCAAAACTTGGATCCCAAGCCAGAGCGAATCTATGTTTATCCTTTCCGGGAATCATGTATTAGCCACTTCACCACTCTTGTCTTCGCTTTGCCTTTCTCTCAGTTAATCACTCGTCAACGAGAATGACCTGAGGAGCACAAATTAGCATTGAACCTATTTAAGCCGAGGTCCAGCCACAATGTTTAACTTTTAAAAGAAGTATTAATTTGCATTTTCACATAAAAGGATTTGGAAATTCTTTCAAAAAAAAGTATTTCGTGGTGCTGGTCAAAATGTGGAACCATTTCTTAGTTTGATTTTAAAAATGGGAAACAAAGAGGTGAAATAGGCATCCTCCTTGCTAATCAGCCCCAGCTCAAGATCAGTTGGTGCTTCTGGTATGTTTCATAATTCGCGCATAGCAAACCGTATTGTTGGTAGATTATCTACAAATCTAGAAAATTTTGTATCGATTGCACTAATGTCTTCTTTGTTGAAGAGTCAACTTCAAGGACGATACAAACTCTTAATAATAGAAAAATTGTTAAACTTAATCATGAGTCTCATCCAGCAGCTGGTGGTGCTGTTGAAAATCGGATACGAAGAGTTAAATGTGACTCCAGCCGGTATCGACTCACAAACCATGAATCTGAAAGAGGCCAGTTGATGGAACCTTATATACTGAACTTCTTACTATACAAAGGTGTGCAATCATTATTCACACTTTCTTATTATGTGGGATTCCGCGGAAGCAAAATTCACTACGTTTTTTCAACCGTGTATTCGTCAAAATCCAAAATTAGGACCCCAGTCATGGATTCCAATCGCTTTATGAAATCACCTGAAGATGCAGTCAATCCTAGAGTTAAAAGCATAGAAGTGTTAAGTATTTGGCGCTAATCAATTTCTAATGAATGCGAAATGCATCCAACTTCATTAGGCATCGTTAGAGGCGATGAATGCCTATCTGGCCTGTACAATGACGCGCATTGGTGTACCGACCTGTCGAGTCAGTGCTGCTATCATCACAGATGAGAACGGGACCAACTAGCGAATCTTGGATGTGTGGAAGCTTGATGAATTCGGAGGCGGCATTGAACCGATGACCACGTGTGTATCACCGTGCACCTCTAACTACCGCGCTTTACACGTTCTACTAATCCTTGAATTAAATCCACAAATGCCCATTCCTTTAAATGTGTTATGTCCTGTTAAAAGCATTCACAAAATCGGATATGTCGTGTATGCAGAGAAAAATCTCACTTTCCTGCATTTCCCAGTGATGCCTTTCGAAAGGCCCTGGTTCCACCAAGGTACCCTGAGGCGACCAAGCACACTGTAGTTAGCACCAGATATTTTACAAAGGGAAAGTTCTGAAAGATTCCTGTGGTCCGCAAAGGATGGATGTTGCAAAATGAGTCAAATATATGAGGTGCTGTGCTGAGATCTTCACAACACCTTACGTCGAGTAATTCTGTGTTTGAAAATTTCTAAAATTCGCAACTATCCAATGAAATCGCAGTTCGAAGGTGACAAATTTCGACTGAGCACCCACTCGCAAGTTTTTCCGCATTCCACCGGCTGTGGAGGCTTGCAGGTGTTCTTCTTCGGTGGTGCGTCTTTATCTTGCTTTTCTGTCGGTTTTACTCCAACGAAGTATGCCTGAATCAACTTCTAATTACAGCCGATCAAAATGTGAAACAAATGACTTCAACACATAATGCCCAATGCCCGTTTTTTCGGAAATGGTGGTGATTTTTGACAACTGCAGTACTCGAAAAACTGAAAAGTTTACGGTATTATAGAAATAAAGTGTCTTTGTCGCCCTAACCATGTAAACGTCCCCTATAAAAAGATATTTTAATTATAAATCTTTTATAAAAAAAGATCTGCAATCGCCCTTCTGTCCCAGATGCAAGATTTGGCAGAAAAAAACGAAAAAGGAAGTTCAATGGAGTTAATTACTCCCTTCTAATTCCAGAGAATTCTCATTTCGAAAGCTCTTGAACGACGTCTTCTGAAGTGAATGCGGAGCTCTGATCTTCGAAATCTGTCACATCCTCGGGATCCAGGAGAATATACATCGATGGCGAAACACAGATGGGCTGATCAGATAGTAAGAAAACGGACGACAGATGGATGAATAGAACTGTGCAGTTGACTCCACGAAATTGCAGGTTTTCCCTAGGACGGCCGCCTACACGATGAGCGGACGTGTTCGCAACTAAAGTTAATCAGCTCTACTTGCAGCTGCAGTTAATGACACTTTGTAGTTGCTCGTTTCAAACTCCATACATTCAATCATTGATTTTTCCTTACTGTTATTTAAAATCCCACTCGCTACTACTCTACGAAACTTTGGACATAAAATCCTTTCAACATATTCTCGTCGGAACTGGTGCTTTCATGACGAAGACGAATACCATCGAGAGCACTACAGCGTTTTTAAGACTGGTTTACTCTGAGCTCATTTTCCGAGTGCTAATGTTGAAACCGGTGGCCAAGAAAGAGCGGCTAGAGATATTGTGTAATATGTTTCGAACAGCAACCAACGTGTGCACGGGAAGAGAGCAGAGAGAGGAGTCCCGGAACTTGGCACGGCAAATAGCCATTTCTAATGGCTACGAAACTGTAGCTCAGGATAGGTGTAGAGGAAATCGTAGGCCTCCAAACGACAACTCTAGCGATAGAAGGGTCCCGTTTATCCTACCCTTCATCTCAAATGATATAAGTACAGTATAAAACGCTGCTTAAGAAGGGCGGGCTTAGAGAATTCGGTGAGCGTAGTTGAAATACCACCGAGTAATCTTAAGCGCCAGCTAGTTCGTAACCGCCTATATGACCGTCTATGTGCAACTCAAAATTGCATAATTTGCCCCAGTGGTAGAGACGGTGATTGCATGAGCTCGGGTATAGTTTATCTGATCTCCTGTAAGACGTGTGGTGACGAATACATTGGCGAAACGGGTAGACCCCTCTGTGTCCGCATGAAAGAACACCTAGCCGGCAAAAATAGACCAAATACCCTACTAGGCATGCATAGGACCCAGAGACATAACGGGGACGACTTCGAAGTATGTGTCACGATCCTCGCACGCGAATCAAGAACACAGGCGCGAAAAACTCTCGAGGCACTCTGGATTAATTCCAGAAATCCGAAAATGAACCGCAGGGAAGAATGCCTCATTATCACGCGTGATATAGGGCAGTATATAAAACTGCTTTTCTGATGTGAGGGGCACATTATACTNGCGGGCTTAGAGAATTCGGTGAGCGTAGTTGAAATACCACCGAGTAATCTTAAGCGCCAGCTAGTTCGTAACCGCCTATATGACCGTCTATGTGCAACTCAAAATTGCATAATTTGCCCCAGTGGTAGAGACGGTGATTGCATGAGCTCGGGTATAGTTTATCTGATCTCCTGTAAGACGTGTGGTGACGAATACATTGGCGAAACGGGTAGACCCCTCTGTGTCCGCATGAAAGAACACCTAGCCGGCAAAAATAGACCAAATACCCTACTAGGCATGCATAGGACCCAGAGACATAACGGGGACGACTTCGAAGTATGTGTCACGATCCTCGCACGCGAATCAAGAACACAGGCGCGAAAAACTCTCGAGGCACTCTGGATTAATTCCAGAAATCCGAAAATGAACCGCAGGGAAGAATGCCTCATTATCACGCGTGATATAGGGCAGTATATAAAACTGCTTTTCTGATGTGAGGGGCACATTATACTTCCACGTGATTTCTGTGCGGTTGGTCTCTACGTGACATACTTAGTGGAAACCTCATAGAAAGCGGTGAGTGTGCAAAGCTGTGTTCAAAGTGATTGAAATCTTGGTTTGGAGTTTCTTTGTTTGGTTATGGAGGCGTCTGGCCGAGTAGATTGCTGCAAAATGTTACTTCTGCAAAATGACTTATATCTTGTAGTAACGTCTACGAATCCTTATGGTTTCTTCTATAACGCTGAGATATTTGCAAAACTCCGGACCGCAGGTATCTGCGACGGGGAACGAACACGCTCTGTTGTCCTTACCGGGGAGCAGCGCACTTCACCACTACACCATCGGGGTCCTTCGCTTTGCATGTATCTCAGCTAGTTCTATCGATCTTTTTGCCATCAGCAATCACCCGTCAATGGGATTGATCTGGGGAGCCAATATCGGCATTGAACCCAGTTAAGCTGAGGCCTCGTTATAATCACAATCTTAACTCTTTTATTTACTGCCTTTTTTCCTCTTAATGGCAGGGTATGTTGTGAAATATAACTCGTATGAATTAAGAAAAAAAAAAAGAAAAAAGTACCATTAAGAAGAAAAAAGGCAGTAAATAAAAGAGTTAAGATTGTGATTATAACGAGGCCTCAGCTTAACTGGGTTCAGTGCCGATATTGGCTCCCCAGATCAATCCCATTGACGGGTGATTGCTGATGGCAAAAAGATCGATAGAACTAGCTGAGATACATGCAAAGCGAAGGACCCCGATGGTGTAGTGGTGAAGTGCGCTGCTCCCCG